CAGGGACTGGCGACGACTCCCAGATCCGATTATACAGACTCAGTAAATACTGAGATGTGCACGGAGAGAGATGACGAAGCATCTCATAATGAATACCATCGGAGCCCGCCGCTGTAGAACCGCAGAGGGCCAGGGCAGAACGAAGTTCAGAGAGAGAGAAGGGATCATTATAGGGAAGCTGAAGATGAGTGCAGAAATCTAAAGGACGAGACTCAAGGACAGGTTTACGAAGAAGGAAAGATTGGGGAAGATGAAGACCAGAGCTAACAGAAGAAAAGTGGGAACCCAGTTCGTAAGCGACCTGCAATGGGTCCGCCACAGTAGTACCATGGAGGTGAAGGACCGGTGAAACATCTGGAACGAACTTACCCGCTATCTTGCGGATACGCTTCCAGATATGTGGCAGAGGAGTTTCGGACGTAATTGTGGAGACATAAGATGCCCAACATTCACGCTTAGCCATACGGATGACCCTACGGGCCACTGCACTCGCTTTCCGAAAGAAAAGAAAAGGATCAGCCGTCTGCCGACGGCGGTGCCTCTTCCAGGCTGCACGCTTACAGTGGACAGCCCGAGCACAGTCCGCATTCCACCAGGGAACGCACTTCCCTGGACCCCGAGAGGAAGAGCAAGGAATAGAGTGGAGGGCAGCGTCGAAGACAGTGTCATGAAAAAGGAGAAGAGCACGAGGGAGAGGCAGAAGGGAGAGGTTAGAGAGAGCAGCACTGAGGGTAAATAGGTTCCAGTCCGCCTTAGCAAACTGCCACCTAGGGAACGAGAGGGAAGGGTGAAAAGAGAAAAAGGAAACAAGGATGGGGAAATGGTCACTGCCATGGAGGTCATCAAGAACCTGCCACGTGAAATCTAAGTAAAGAGAAGAAGAGCAGTGAGAAAGATCAAGACAGGAAAGGGTGCGAGTCCGAGAGTCCAAATGAGTGGGCTCACCAGAATTCAGAAGAGACAGGGAAGAAGAGAGGATAAACGGCTCAAGAAGGCGACCTCGGGTATTCGTCAGAACATCACCCCAAAGAGAATGACGACAATCGAAATCACCTAGCAGGGGCACAGGCTCTGGCAAGAAGTCCAGGAGGTGTTTCAAAGCAGGAAGAGAAAGCGGGACACTCGGGGGGGAGATAAATGGAACAAACTGTGTACCATTTCCCCACAGAGATACGAGCAGCAGAACAATGGAGAGGCAAAGGAAAAAGTAAGGGAACATAGGGGACATCAGTGCGAATCAAGAGAGCAGAAGAATTAGGAGCCCCAGCAACGTGTGGGGGGGGGGGGGGGGAGAGAAAGGAATAGTCACGAAAACGACCAGGACGAGCACCAAGCATCGGCTCCTGGAGACAGACACAAAGGGGCGAAAATCGCGAAATCAGAAGTTGGAGTTCGAGGAAATTGGTATAATAACCTCGAACGTTCCATTGAAGAATAGACATCGACGAGAAAAGAAAGGACAACAACAGAGAACAAGGAAGAAACAAAGGCGAAAGAGCAACATAGCACGTTAAAGAATATCAGGGTCAGCGAAGTCAGGGTTAGAGGGCATGGGTAAACTGAGCAAAGACGGAGGGAAGGAAGCGGGAGAACAGACCAGAGGTGGGCGGGCGGGGTCAGGAGGAGGAGGAGGAAGAGGAGGAGACAACGGAGAGGAGCAGTCAAGGACAGCAGCAGGAAGAGGGGGAGTAGAAAGAGGGGAGCTCACCTCAGCAAGGGCAGCAACCGAGAGGGAAGCAGGGGCCAAAGAAACCTCCATAGCAGAAACAGGGGGCGCAACCACTGAAATGAGAGGGGAAGGAGCAATAGAGCCAGTAGTAGGGGCCGAGGAAGAAAGCGAAGCTTTCTTACCCGCCGGGGAGGAGGAAGGAGAGGAGTCAGGCTTACACTTCTGACGTAAAGAGACCGGTGTCCCAGCAACTACGTACTGGGTAACGGATTCCAGCGTCCCAAAAGGAGAAGCTGAACGAGAGCACACACGACGGCAGTTAGGAGAGCGATGGACATCCGCCTGCACCGACAGGCCGTGGGGAGAGTCAGTAGATGGAGGAGAAGGATGGGAAGGAGGATCGGAGGGAGATGAGGAAGAAGACACAGGAGACATGACAGACCGGGTAGAAAGAAGGGGAACCCCAGACAGAGGACCAGGAGGGGTACCCTTCGGGACAGAATTCAAAGGAACAGAGGAGGGGGCAGTGAGCGTATCAGGGTCCAAGGATCAGAAACGGTTGAGAGTCTGAGGAAGGTGGGAAGGACGAGGAGAGGACGATCGCAACACGCGAGCATAAGAGACGTTAGCATAAGGTGGGAGCCGGCGAACCTGGCACCTCGCCTCGGGAAAAGATAAACGCTTCCGGTGCTTCAAGTTCAGGACGGCTGTTTCAAGCTTGTAATGGATACAGGCACGGGAGAAGGTAGGATGGGCCTCACCGCAGTTGAGGCAGCGAGCTTGGGGAGAAGTGCACTCCGACTTAGAGTGACCTTCACCCCCACACAAAGGACAGAGAGAGACAGTCCCAGAGCAGCGGAGGGCACCATGCCCAAACCTCCAGCACTTGTTACAAAGCCGAGGAGAAGGAATATACTCCTGGCCAGAGCACCTGGCACCAGCAAGAATGACAGAGGATGGAAGGGTCCTACCATCAGAGGTGATCTTCACAACTCGAAGGGGTTGACGGCGACGACCACGAGGGGGACGAGTAAACGAGTGTACCCGGAAGACAGAATGGCCATGGGCATCAAGGATATGCCAAATGTCTTCGTGGCAGTCCTGCAGATTCCGAACACCGGTTGCAACATGGGGCGGGAGGAGAATAGTGCCAACACTGGCATTCAACTGAGCGTTCTTGGAGACCCGAACAGGGATCTCGCCAAGGCAGGATAAGACAGCCAAGCGGGAAGCTGCATCCTGAGAAGGAGCAGCAACGACACGTGTACCGCGACGAGTGGGGTTGAAAGTAACAGAAGCATCCACGGAATCAACGAGATGCCGATGGAGGGAGAAATCGTCAGGAGGCGCAGAATCAAGAGGGAAGAGATCAAAGTATTTGGCCCACGAAGCAGGAACAAACAAGGCCTGATACGCATCAGTACAGGAAGGAAACGAGCGAGTGCGGCCGTGGCGCTGACGGCGTTGAGAACCCCCAGAGAGAGAGGGGTCAAAAGGCGCAGTAGTCACAACAACGAGAGACGTAGCCGCACCAGGGGACGAAGTAGTCACCATTGGGGGCTTGAGGCTCGACCCAACCACAGAGGAGGGAGGGGAGCTGGGGGAAGAAGTCAGGATGGTCAAAGGAGGAGCAAGGTCGGGGCCCAATGCAGCGGGGGCTACAGAGCCCGGTCTTCCAATACAGGCTGACTCGGGGGTCTTGGTCGCCCACCCACGAGCCTGAGAGGGTACAACAGAAACATTCAACGACATATAGACGAAGAGAAAGAAATTCAACTACGAATGTGCCCCCATACCCACCATGGAGCCACAATTAGAGGAAGGACACCCAACAGGAAGCTATTGCCGATCATGCCGGGGCCCCCCTAGAGGTGCGTCGTGAGTATACGCCCCACAAACGCCACCTTAAGAACCGCGAGTCCGTCGAGATCGGGTTCAGCGACGAAAGGGAGATTGACAATGAAAGGTTCCCCTCGCTTGAGACGTCGGGTACTACAGTTCTACGTGTGCAAGAGTATGCGTCCTCAAGCACCCGGGCGTCAAAATAGAAGAAGTCCAAAGGAATAACCAAAACAAGCAAAAGGTCGGCAGGAAACGACAAGCAGATAGGAGAAGAGGGGGAGAGAAAACGAAACAAAAGGAAAAGGAAAAGCGATCTGGCACAATTAGAGAAGACAGCAGCATGAGTGCAAGGCCACAAAAGGACAGAGGACTGTCCCTCGGAGCACCACACTCCAACAGCCGCCCACTAAGCCCCCTCACGGCGCCAACGGGCCGGATGGGGAGGGGGTCTGGATTAGAAGTAATGCATCAATCACTAGACTTCCCGGGCTCCATCTTAAGAGTTAATAAAAGCCCACCCTCAAAATCGAATTCTGAGGGTAGCTCTCAATATAGCAGAATCATATGTTACATACTTGCTAATATGGGCTAATATTAAATGCAATGAGCTCAGGCACTGATGTTATAATAAAATAATTACTGATTGTAGAGGGACTTTGTGTTATTTTCAGGCATGGTGTGAGACTGGTGTACTCGAGTACTGACACGGGACACATGGCACACGCCTCATGTGACTCGAGTTCTGTGCAGCTTAGATGATTGGGAAATTCAGTCAGAGAAAGTTGATAGTCAAGACATATATGTATCTATTTACCATGATAATTGTTATATTTTTATATATAATTAAAACAAGAAAACCAAAGTTTATTACATATTATGTTTTGTTGATTGTTTATATGTTTCTGAGTAAAGATTAAGCAGATAGACATTGTATTAACTATACTATAGTTTAAGTACAGTAACTAAGATACAAAAAGAGTGAAAATATTAAAAAGGAATTTAACATAAAATTGGCTAAGAGACAGGGATAATGTATACGTATGTTTACGTAATGTTATGTATAATGTATGACTGAGATTTAGCAATACCCAATAAGCCAAGAAAGTACAAACTTTATTAGTATGGGGGCATGGTTTCGCTCCACTAAGGATATTGTTCACAAAATCCTAGGCATGCCTGTGTGTGCAATGAGGTTCAGAGATTTTGAAGGGCGTCAGAATTCCTCAGGGCCACATCCCAAGGGACCAAACGTTCTATTTACGTGTGTGTTGTTACGTACGACTTAGGAGGTAACATTGACTTAGGAGGTACTAAATCCAGCTCATTGCATAAACTAAACTGGCCGTCCAGTTCCAGAGGGAAGGACCCATACTAAGACGAGTTTAAGCAAATTAAAGATTTTCGCCACTGTGTGGAGAGGTATAGTGCTGGAAACATGAACACAGGATAAGGTAAGTGCCATCACGTGACAGCATCCGTTTTCTTACAGACTGTTAAATGGGCCAAAGTTTGTGGTTGTGGCGGAGGAATTCGAACCTCACATTGCCATGGTGAAAGTTGAGGACAAGAGATCTACTTCCTTGTCCTTCAAAGGTCCGTTGGTCAACTTACTCGAGATACTCGCCAGCACTATGAATTTCTCGTAAGTTTCCTTTATCTAATATGATCTGTGTTGGATAACTATTCCGAAATTTTGTTTCATTTAAACTGCCTAGTACAGAAACGTATACCTAGTTACAACAAAAGTAATATTGAAGATATTACCATATTTGTTTATATTATTCAATAATTTTTTGTTTAAATTTTTATTTAATTTTCCATTGAACAATTTTAAAGTTACAAGTTCATGATTGGAGTTAATGGTTAAAAGGCTGTGAAGCTCTTGGAGCTCCTTACCGTCGAGACACGAACCAAGGACATAACCGGCGATCCTTTCTGAATCAGCACCCCGTGGTAGTAAAGTAGGAAACTGGCAGCTCTTGGGTCCTTGGTAGTGTCAATGAGTTCAGAACCTAATTCTCTGAGAAAGCTCACAGCACTTGCCCTATGGACCCAAGGGACTCAGATGCTATGGTAATAAATGTCTACGTATGTTCCACTTCCCTGTACTTATTTGATTTTACTGCTTCTCTATGGTTAGCTACACCACATGTTCCCCCAACACTGAATGAGATATAGGTGTCAGCCAGGGTATCTTGTTCCACACCAACTGTCTCATTCTTCCTTGGGTTATATCAAGATATCATCTGGACGAAACGCGGGACTATCGGTATTTGGGCCTGAAGAAATCAAGGTTCTCTCTCTGCTGGGCACTAGGGCACTAGAATGTGGCAAGGTTCTTCGTAATTATATTATTAATTTCATTGTGCTTTTCATTACAACTCTTAGAACCACTGCAATGTAGACCATGCTAACCATGTTGCAAATACAATTGTCAGTGTGAATTGTAGCACCGAGGGGAAAGGGTCACCGAAATATAGACGTTATATGGGTCTAGAGAAATCCCTGTTGTAGATATAGATACTAATTAAAAAAAAACTTGGATATGCAATACAAACGGGTCTAAGGCAAGCTACCTCCTAATTCTAATATTCCTGCATGGAATATTTGAATTCCAGACGAGTCATTCCAACATTGGAATGTGTCAGTTGGACTCAGTTTATGCTTTTGTTGGGTCTGCTCCGGGGGCTGGGCCTGCAGGAACATTCCTTTGATCAGACTGTTACTGAAGGCGTGATCGTGATCACTGTCGAATCGACAATGTTCTGAATAGATTTGTTTTACAAGATCATTTAATGCAGAAAAGGATAAAAGGATGGCTGGCCAAGCAATCTCAAAGGCTGTGCGAACACCAAGGACACCGACTCTGATGGGAAGAGTAGCTTGTTACCACTGAGTGAACAAGAGAAAAGTCGAAGACTTTTACTACGATAAACATCATAAGGGGTACCATATTCACTTCATTTTGTTCAATTTTAGGATGGAGAACACCTCAGACACAAAGGTACCTTTGATAGAGATATTCATCATGTTAGGAGCTAGAAAGCATCATGAGCATATATTTTGTTAATTCTTTTATTAATTCTTCTAAGGTTAGTAATTTTTGCATCTAGGATCTCCTTAGCTACAGGGAAAACCAAGGGAGGCACTTAAGAAGATGCAATCTACTGGTGCAATTATGTGGATATCAGGCAGAACATCATTTGCTTACCCACTTACATATGAATTAGAAAAGCCTATTTCACACTTAAATGCAATTCTGAATAAGACTTGGATATAAATATGATCAATGCCCTAAATTTTTTCTAATATTTTCCAGGGGGTACCAGGATACCAATAGGAGTGCTATCAAACCTCTATATTATTATTATTATTATATTATTATTACAAACCTCTATATTATTATATATATATATATATATATATATATATATATATATATATATATATATATATATATATATATATGCGAACAAGCCTGAATGGTCCCCAGGACAATATGCAACTGAAAACTCACACCCCAGAAGTGTTTATATATATATATATATATATATATATATATATATATATATATATATATATATATATATATATATATATATATATATATATATGCGGAAAATCCACAGAGAAATATGAAATGAGGTGAACGTTTCGGCTTTGTTAAAGCCTTTGTCAACACCAGACTGACTAAGGAGAAGGTGATTGATTGATTGATGAAGATTAAGCCACCCAAGAGGTGGCACGGGAATGAATAGCCCGTAAGTGGTGGCCCTTTCGAGCCATTACCAGTATCAAAAGATGATACTGGAAATCTGTGGAGGCGCAACTGCACCCTGCGTGACGGGAGATGTCTCCCGGACCAAGTGGTGACCAAATAGTGAGGAAGAATAGTTCCTCACTATTTGGGGAGTTCCTCCACAGCTCATAAAACGGAGGAAAGGGTCCTGAAAGATATTGTTAATAGAAACGTTATCCCTACAGACAAAAATCAGAGGATACAACTGACGATTTACTATAAAACCAGAAAAACGGCCAGCCTACTCATGAGAAACTCTCCAGACACAAAACAGAACGCTTTAAAAGAGACTAACGTCGTCTATGCCTTCAAATGCCCTCTTGGGGACTGTAAGCTCCAAAAAAAACAGTATATAGGCAAGACAACAACATCTCTTTCTAGGCGTTTAACGATGCATAAGCAACAGGGCTCCATTAAGGAACATATAATCTCTTCCCACAACCAAACCATCGCCAGAGAAATCCTAGTAAACAACACAGAAATCATCGATAGATACAGCGATAGCAGGCGGCTTGACATTTGCGAGGCACTACACATCAAGAAGTCAACACCAGCAATCAACAGCCAATTATTGCACAACTATATTCTACCCACCTCAAGACTCCGCTCCAATATAGAAGCATCAAGAAATATGGACCAATAGGCTTTCTACAAACACTTCTATTCAATATCCATTGTTTCGTGTTCTGTCTTGTGTTGATGAAATTAATACCCTATTAATATCATCTTGTTCTGTCTTGTGTTGATGAAATTAATACCCTATTAATGCCACATCTTGTTCTGTCTTGTGTTAATGCCACATCACCCCTTCCACCTCACTCAAAGGTAGATATATAATCGGAGATGCGTAAGTTCTATTCAGTTGTGTATTTGTGAACTAAAGTCTTTGAAAATGTAATAAGTTTTACGAAACGGGCTCGTGTCGCGTCAGTCTAGAAATAAAAATGAATTTTGGAGAATTGATTTTGATTTACCTCCAACAGTGAAAAGAAATGTATGAAAGATTGAGAAAATTCGTGTTAGAATTATTAATCTGACTTTTTCGGTCATATTTAATAATATATATATATATATATATATATATATATATATATATATATATATATATATATATATATATATATATATATATATATATATATATATATATATATATATATATATATATATGGACACTTGGGGTACAGGTGTCCTTGACCTTTGGGAGCAAGCCATCAACATCTGGGCCGTTTGCAGAAGTACGGCGAGTGCATCACTGCGGCCTCGGGCGAGTGCATCACTGCGGCCTCGGGCGAGTGCATCACTGCGGCCTCGGGCGAGTGCATCACTGCGGCCTCGGGCGAGTGCATCACTGCGGCCTCGAGCGAGTGCATCACTGCGGCCTCGGGCGAGTGCATCACTGCGGCCTCGGGCGAGTGCATCACTGCGGCCTCGAGCGAGTGCATCACTACGGCCTCGGGCGAGTGCATCACTGCGGTGTAACACGGGTTTAGGTTCCTCTCTTTACTTCCTTCTTTCTACTCCCTCTACCCGTATTCTTACTTATTATTTCTAAACCAAGGGACCCCAAAACTTTTAACAAAGCCAACTCCACGCCACGTGGTCCTAAGACGATTGACCGACTTAGGATTCTACACCCAGTATGACGTGACCTAAGCTCTGAACAAAACCCTAGAGTCACCTCTGCTGCCACCACCAGACCAGTAATACAAGAGCAATGATCGAGGTCTGGATCGATCACGCTAATTAATCAACCTAGGGGCTTGATCCCCACTATAAACGATGACCTTGAGTGTGGAATAAATTACACGGTAATGATAATTCCGATTCGATGTTAGAATCGGCGCCCAATGCAACTCTGCCTCGTGTGGACCACGTGACCAGGACAAGTATACACATAAAACACATGGAAACAATAAAATGCAAATTAATAACAAATTTAATTTATTAAAAGAAAACTAAAACAAAATCTAAATATGTTCACTCCCTATCACTTTAACACTCCCTACTTGACCTGAGTGGCAAATGAGAAGACTATTTCTATACATAACCATAGCAACTATACCTTGGGCGACCAGCTAGATGTCTTGGCTGATATTGGGGAGAGGTAAGATGTTTGACCTCTCCCAGTTGCTTCCGTGACCACACTGATTTTTTCCTTGTCTGGACTACCCCAGACAGAGTATTGTATTGTTCCGCATCGCTTACCCAGTTACTTTAGCAAGGTTAAGTTATAACAATTAAACTCTGTTGTACTTAATTGATCCAGACTGGTTGAATTATTTTACTGAATTAAATTACAAACATCTAACGGCAGAGCTGTTCCCGATCACAAAAATGGTTATTAAAACTTTGAGAAATATTAGACATGTCAACCCTGCTGACCTATGACCGCCGGTCACTCCGCCTTAAAAGTTAGATCCGATTCGTGACGTCACTGATGGTGACTTAAACTCAATAATTAGAATACTCTTGATATTGTATCCAGTACTATTATACAATACAATTTTAATGCAAAATGAATAAAGGCTAATTTTCTCTAATTTACTGAATACTATAGGATGATTCATTATACGCAGCTATGAACAACGCGTCGGTTATTTCCACCGCGAATTCCCCTGGGGGTCAGGTCACCATGCGGCTCAGCTTCCCATTCTCTTTTGTCGATAAACCACTCTGGATAATTCTTACAACAGCCTAGTTTGTTACAACCCCCCCGCACAAGCACTTAGTAAACCTTGTTAATTTGTTAAAATTCACGAGGTTTAGTATCCAAACCCACAATTCAACTCATGCCACAAACAAAAGCTAACCTAACTAATAAAATTTGACAAATAATAGTCCAACATCATAATGAACATGTTCATATTTCATAAATTTCTCAGCTGTCAACTGACAGCAATCCTCTAATATCAGGAAACATACATCCTATCCTTACTGACATAGCTAAATAACATGTCCCTACTCTACCATCAAAAACTAGCTATTAAACTCTCTTGGCTCTTCACTAGCCAAGTCCATGTGTCCTCTAGAGCCGGCCACACCGTGCTCAAACAAACATTAAAGTTATAAGTTCAGACTGAACTTTGTCATCCGGGAGCGTACTACGGAACTATCAAGTTCACATCCGTGTACTACCCACTCCCCATCTGTCAACCTTGACCACTCTACCCGCTATTGTAACACGGGTTACTCTCTTATTCCTTCTTTCTACTCCCTCTACCCGTATTCTTACTTAATTTCTAAACCAAGGGACTCCAAAACTTTTACCAAAGCCAACTCCACGCCACGTGGTCCTAAGACGATTGACCGACTTAGGATTCTACACCCAGTATGACGTGACCTAAGCTCTGAACAAAACCCTAGAGTCACCTCTGCTGCCACCACCAGACCAGTAATACAAGAGCAATGATCGAGGTCTGGATCGATCACGCTAATTAATCAACCTAGGGGCTTGATCCCCACTATAAACGATGACCTTGAGTGTGGAATAAATTACACGGTAATGATAATTCCGATTCGATGTTAGAATCGGCGCCCAATGCAACTCTGCCTCGTGTGGACCACGTGACCAGGACAAGTATACACATAAAACACATGGAAACAATAAAATGCAAATTAATAACAAATTTAATTTATTAAAAGAAAACTAAAACAAAATCTAAATATGTTCACTCCCTATCACTTTAACACTCCCTACTTGACCTGAGTGGCAAATGAGACTATTTCTATACTTAACAATAGCAACTATACCTTGGGCGACCAGCTAGATGTCTTGGCTGGACTTGGGGAGAGGTAAGATGTTTGACCTCTCCCAGCTGCTTCCGTTTCCACACTGATTTTTTTCCTTGTCTGGACTACCCCAGACAGAGTATTGTATCCTTCCGCATCGCTTACCCAGTTACTTTAGCAAGGTTAAGTTATAACAATTAAACTCTGTTGTACTTAATTGATCCAGACTGGTTGAATTATTTTACTGAATTAAATTACAAACATCTAACGGCAGAGCTGTTCCCGATCCCAAAAATGGTTATTAAAACTTTGAGAAATATTAGACATGTCAACCCTGCTGACCTATGACCGCCGGTCACTCCGCCTTAAAAGTTAGATCCGATTCGTGACGTCACTGATGGTGACTTAAACTCAATAATTAGAATACTCTTGATATTGTATCCAGTACTATTATACAATACAATTTTAATGCAAAATGAATAAAGGCTAATTTTCTCTAATTTACTGAATACTATAGGATGATTCATTATACGCAGCTATGAACAACGCGTCGGTTATTTTCACCGCGAATCCCCCTGGGGGTCAGGTCACCATGCGGCTCAGCTTCCCATTCTCTTTTGTCGATAAACCACTCTGGATAATTCTTACAACAGCCTAGTTTGTTACAGCGGCCTCGGGCGAGTGCATCACTGCGGCCTCGAGCGAGTGCATCACTGCGGCCTCGAGCGAGTGCATCACTGCGGCCTCGGGCGAGTGCATCACTGCGGCCTCGAGCGAGTGCATCACTGCGGCCTCGGGCGAGTGCATCACTGCGGCCTCGAGCGAGTGCATCACTGCGGCCTCGGGCGAGTGCATCACTGCCGCCTCGGGCGAGTGCATCACTGCCGCCTCGGGCGAGTGCATCACTGCCGCCTCGGGCGAGTGCATCACTGCCGCCTCGGGCGAGTGCATCACTGCCGCCTCGGGCGAGTGCATCACTGCCGCCTCGGGCGAGTGCATCACTGCCGCCTCGGGCGAGTGCATCACTGCCGCCAAGGGCGAGTGCATCACTGCGGCCTCGGGCGAGTGCATCACTGCCGCCAAGGGCGAGTGCATCACTGCGGCCTCGGGCGAGTGCATCACTGCGGCCTCGGGCGAGTGCATCACTGCGGCCTCGGGCGAGTGCATCACTGCCGCCTCGGGCGAGTGCATCACTGCCGCCTCGGGCGAGTGCATCACTGCCGCCTCGGGCGAGTGCATCACTGCCGCCTCGGGCGAGTGCATCACTGCCGCCTCGGGCGAGTGCATCACTGCCGCCAAGGGCGAGTGCGTCACTGCGGCCTCGGGCGAGTGCATCACTGCCGCCAAGGGCGAGTGCATCACTGCGGCCTCGGGCGAGTGCATCACTGCCTCCTCGGGCGAGTGCATCACTGCGGCCTCGGGCGAGTGCATCACTGCCGCCAAGGGCGAGTGCATCACTGCCGCCAAGGGCGAGTGCATCACTGCGGCCTCGGGCGAGTGCATCACTGCGGCCTCGGGCGAGTGCATCACTGCCGCCTCGGGCGAGTGCATCATTGCCGCCTCGGGCGAGTGCATCACTGCCGCCTCGGGCGAGTGCATCACTGCCGCCTCGGGCGAGTGCATCACTGCCGCCAAGGGCGAGTGCATCACTGCGGCCTCGGGCGAGTGCATCACTGCCTCCTCGGGCGAGTGCATCACTGCGGCCTCGGGCGAGTGCACCACTGCATCGAAATCACTTGCCACAGCACAGGCCCTGCAAAGCAAGCATCCTTCCAGAGCCCCTCAAGGCGACAACATCGTTCCGCCACCAGCCGACACCATTTCAGACCCATTAACTGTTGGTGAATCTGAGGTCTACAAAGCAGCCCTTTCTTTTCCATCTGGGTCAGCAGGCGTCTTTACAGGATTAAAACCTCAACACATCAAGCAAATGTTAAATCCTGCGGTTGGTGATGCTGCACAAGATCTTCAAAAGATAAAAAAAAAAAAAACTCACAAAGTTCATCAACATGTGCCTGACTGGTGATATACCTGAGGTCATCAGGCCTCTCTTTTTTGGTGCCTCCCTCTGTGCTCACGAAAAGAAGGACGAGGGAATCAGGCCAATCGCTGTTGGCAACACTCTCCGACGCCTGATTGCCAAGGTTGCTACGAGGGTTGTCAGCCAGCAAGCGGCTGAATTGCTGAAACCAATCCAGCTAGGATTTGGAATCCCCCAAGGCTGTGAAGCGGCTGCCCATGCAGCACGAGCATACGTCACCAACATTTCTGATGAAAAGGCCCTGCTCAAACTGGACTTTAAGAATGCCTTCAACATAGTCAGAAGAGAGGCAGTACTTTGTGCCGTACATCGCCATTTCCGGCCCCTCTACCCGTTCATACTATCGTGCTACAGTGGTGAGTCAAAACTGCTCTTTCGTGAATACGAAATCAGATCATGTGAAGGTGTTCAGCAAGGTGATCCTCTTGCTCCCCTTCTTTTCTGCTTAGTCTTAAAAGAAATCACCGAAAGCATGTCCAGCGAGTTCAACATCTGGTTTTTGGATGATGGCACTATAGCTGGCACCGTAGACCACCTCTTGGAAAATATCAGGAAAATAAGGGAGCAAGAAGTAAGCCTGGGTCTCTTCCTGAACCCTTCCAAGTGTGAAGTAGTCTCCTCCAACCCAGACATCGTAGCTAGAATAAGGTCTGCCTTGCCTGGAGCCCATGTCATTAGGGCCGAGAACAGCACCCTCCTCTTATGAGGGTACTGTGTCAAAGACTTTCTGACAATCCAAGAAAATACAGTCCGCCCAGCGTTCTCTTTCTTGCTTTACCTTTGTCACCTGGTCGTAGGTGTGTGTGTATACTCACCTAGTTGTGCTTGCGGGGGTTGAGTTTTAGCTCTTTGGTCCCGCCTCTCAACCGTCAATCAACAGGTGTACAGGTTCCTGAGCCTATTGGGCTCTATCATATCTACACTTGAAACTGTGTATGGAGTCAGCCTCCACCACATTACTTCCTAATGCATTCCATTTGTCAACCACTCTGACACTAAAAAAGTTTTTTCTAATATCTCTGTGGCTCATTTGGGCACTCAGTTTCCACCAGTGTTCCCTAGTGCGTGTGCCCCTTGTGTTAAATAGCCTGTCTTTATCAACCCTGTCGATTCCCTTGAGAATCTTGAATGTGGTGATCATGTCCCCTCTAACTCTTCTGTCTTCCAACGAAGTGAGGTGCAATTCCCGTAGTCTCTCCTCGTAGCTCATACCTCTCAGCTCGGGTACTAGTCTGGTGGCAAACCTTTGAACCTTTTCCAGTTTAGTCTTATGCTTGACTAGATATGAACTCCATGCTGGAGCCGCATACTCCAGGATTGGTCTGACATATGTGGTATATAATGTTCTGAAAGATTCCTTACACAAGTTTCTAAAGTTTTTTGTGAGCGTTCTTATGTTAGCCAACCTGGCATATGCTGCTGATGTTATCCTCTTGATATGAGCTTCAGGGGACAGGGCTGGCGTGATATCAACCCCCAGGTCTTTCTCTCTCTCTGACTATTGAAGTATTTCATCTCCCAAGTGATACCTTGTATCTGGTCTCCTGCTTCCTACCCTTATCTTCATTACATTAAATTTGCTTGGGTTAAACTCTAACAGCCATTTGTTCGACCATTCCTGCAGCTTGTCCAGATCTTCTTGAAGCCTCAAGCTGTCCTCCTCTGTCTTAATCCTTCTCATAATTTTGGCGTCGTCAGCAAACATTGAGAGGAATGAGTCTATACCCTCTGGGAGATCATTTACTTATATCAGAAACAGGATAGGTCCAAGCACAGAGCCCTGTGGGACTCCTCTGGTGACTTCACGCCATTCTGAGGTCTCACCCCTCACTATAACTCTCTGCTTCGTATTGCTTAGGTGCTCCCTTATCCACTGGAGTGCCCTACCAGTTACTCCTGCCTGTTTCTCCAGCTTATGAATCAACCTTTTATGGGGTACTCTGTCAAAGGCTTTCCGACAGTCCAAAAAAAGGCAGTCCGCCCATCCTTCTCTTTCTTGCTTAATCTTTGTCACCTGATCGTAGAATTCTATCAAGCCTGTAAGGCAAGATTTACCCTCCCTGAACCCATGTTGATGGGTTGTCACGAAGTCTCTTCTCTCCGGATGTGTTACTAGATTTTTTCTCACAATCTTCTCCATCACCTTGCATGGTATACAAGTTAAGGACACTGGCCTGTAGTTCAGTGCCTCTTGTCTGTCACCCTTTTTGTATATTGGTACTACATTAGCAGTGTTCCATATTTCTGGTAGGTCTCCCGTTTCCAGTGACCTACTATACACTATGGAGAGTGGCAAGCAAAGTGCCCCTGCACACTCTTTCAATACCCATGGTGAGATTCCATCCGGCCAACAGCTTTTCTCACATCCAGCTCCAATAGGTGCTTCTTGACCTTATCTCTTGTAATTTCGAACCTTTCCAAGGTCACCTGGTTTGCTGCCTCCTCTCCTAGCGCCGTGACTTCTCCCTGTTCTGTTGTAAAGACCTCCTGGAACCTTTTGTTGAGTTCTTCACACACCTCTTTGTCATTCTCTGTGTACCTGTCCTCGCCCACCCTAAGTTTCATTACCTGTTCCTTCACTGTTGTCTTCCTCCTGATGTGACTGTAGTAGCTTTGGTTCGGTCTTGGCTTTATTAGCTATATCATTTTCATACCTTTTCTCAGCTGCTCTTCTCACACTAACATACTCGTTCCTGGTTCTCTGGTATCTCTCTCTACTTTCTGGTGTTCTGTTATTACAGAAGTTCCTCCATGCCCTTTTGTTCAGCTCCTTCGCTTTCATACATTCCCTATTAAACCAAGGATTCTTCCTTTGCTTCTGTGTTTTTTTCCTGTTGGGCTGGGACAAACCTGCTTACAGCCTCCTGACATTTTTGGGTGACATAGTCCATCATGTCTTGTACGGACTTGGTTCCGAGTTCTGTGTCCCAATATATATCCCATAGGAATTTATTCATCTCCTCATAGTTTCCCTTTCGGTACGCCAGCCCTTTGCTTCCCAGTTCTTTTTGGGGGGTGATAAATCCTAGCTCAACCAGGTACTCAAAGCTCAATACACTATGATCACACATTCCCAAGGGGGCTTCCAACTTAACTTCCCTTATATCCGACTCATTTAGGGTAAATATCAGATCAAGCAAGGCTGGTTTATCCCCTCCTCTCGTTCTTGTCGGTCCCTTGACTTGTTGACTTAGAAAGTTTCTTTTTGCCACATCCAGCAGCTTAGCTCTCCATGTGTCTGGGCCTCCATGTGGGTCTCTGTTTCCCCAATCTATCTTTCCATGGTTGAAATCTCCCATGATTAGTAGCCTGGATCTGTTCCTGCTAGCCACAGAAGCTGCTCTCTCTATTATATTGATGGTGGCCAAGTTGTTTCTATCATATTCCTGTCTGGGTCTTCTGTCATTCGGTGGGGGGTTATATATGACTACGACTATAATTTTCTGTCCTCCAGTTGCTATGGTGCCTGATATGTAGTCTCTGAAACCTTCACAGTTCTGAATTACCATCCCTTCGAAACTCCAACCGTCTCTTAGTAGCAAAGCTACACCACCTCCTCCTCTCCCTTCTCTCTCTTTCCTCACTACATAGTAGCCCTGTGGAAACACTGCGTTTGTTATGGTGTTTGTTAGCTTTGTTTCTGTGAGTGCTATTATGTCTGGGTTTTCTTCTAGTGCCCATTCTCCGAGTTCACTTGTTTTATTTGTAATCCCATCTATGTTAGTGTGTATTGCCTTGAAGCTCACTTTCTTCAGTTCATTTTCTTGTCCCTTTCTTGGTGAGCATTCTGCTGGTGTGGGAAGCTTTTCCGTGGGTGAGAAGATCTGTGAGGTGGTTTGTAGGGTCTCAGAGGAGTTTGGGGTGAGGGGTGGGGGTTTCTGGGAAGGGGGGACAGGTAGGGTGTGGGTTAAGGAGATAGGAGGGACATGGAGGATACAGGGTGAGGGGGGAGGAGGGATAGGGAAGGTATGGGATGAAGGGGATGGGGGGACAGGGGAGGAAAGATGGGAGGAGGGACATGATGGGAATGGGGAAGGGGTGACAGGGTAAGAATGGGGTGGGGGGGGGAGGGAGGGTTGGGTGGTGGCAGGTAGGGGTGTGTGTGTGTGTGTGTGTGTGTGTGTGTGTGTGTGTGTACTCACCTATTTGTACTCACCTATTTGTGCTTGCGGGGGTTGAGCTTTGGCTCTTTGGTCCCACCTCTCAACTGTCAATCAACTGGTGTACAGATTCCTGAGCCTACTGGGCTCTATCATATCTACATTTAAAACTGTGTATGGAGTCAGCCTCCACCACATCACGTGTGTGTGTGTGTGTGGCTGTGTGTGTGTGTGTGTGTGTGTGTGTGTGTGGTGTGTGTGTGTGTGTGTAGCTCACCACCTAGTTGTACTCATCTAGTTGTGCTTGCGGGGGTTGAGCTCTGGCTCTTTGGTCCCGCTTCTCAACTGTCAATCAACTGATGTACAGATTCCTGAGCCTATTGGGCTCTATCATATTTACATTTGAAACTGTGTATGTGTGTAGAGTCAGCCTCCACCACATCACTGCCCTAATGCATTCCATCTGTTAAGTACTCTGACACTGGAAAAATTCTTTCTAATATCCCTGTGGCTCATTTGGGTACTCAGTTTCCACCTGTGTCCCCTTGTTCGCGTACCACCGGTGTTAAATAGTTTGTCCTTATCTACCCTGTCAATTCCGCTGAGAAT